ACGTCGTTGCCAAGCGACGAAAACCCAACCCCGATCGCAAACACCGGGGGGGGCGGCTTGATTTACAACGTCGTTGCCAAGCAACGAAAACCCAACCCCGATGGCAAACACAGAGGGGGGGGATCCGGGGGGGAGGGGGCGCGAACATAACTTCTTTGCCTCCTACGAAAAAAAATGCACTTCTGTTCAGCTAGGTAGGGGGGTGGTAGCACCGAAGGTTTCTGATGGATTGGGGGTATCGCACCATCATGTTCCTTACTGGGGCGTTTCTTACGTTGTGGCCGAGAGTGAGCTATGTTTCTTAGCCCTTTTTTCTTATTTTTCGCAAAAACTTGAGCCTTTTTTCTGAGCGTATTTTTTCTTAACTGCGGGCGCCATCCGTATTGCGACAAGAAGAGAAACAAACCCCTGTGATGACTTTTCCGTGTCTATTTGCTGTGGGGGGTAGTATCTAACGTTTCCCTATTTTTGATGTTCGTTGTGTACTGCTGTTGTAGGAAAAGCTACTCTTGCCACATGTGTCTCGGGGGTGTTATATTGTGTCGTAACTGTACGGTGCGTGTATCGGCTGAGTATGAAGATACATGGACATTGTTTTATGGAGCACTTCCCACCTACATGAAGCAATAAGGTATCCAACGTATCGGTTCGTCCACCAATTTTTTCCCTCTTGTTCCCGACGTAGGATCCTTCCCCGCAATGATGCGGGCATGTAGCGCCTCATACGGAAGGCACGATCAAGATAAAATACATTTGAGAGTACGGTTCGTGGGAGGATATTGTTGTAGCGGGGAAAAATATATAGTCTACATGTATGTACAGTACATCAACGTTTTTTCATTGTTCAACAAGATCGAAGCATTCTCCGACAAGATAGCACCTGCAGCGGCATTGTTGACTTCACAGCAGCATGTAGCAGGAGATTGTTGTGCTGAGAGATGTTTCCGGTTTGCTTCAACAGCCGGTACTCGTACAATCTATGCCTACCAGTGTACTTCTACTGCTGTACATGAAGTCATGAAATTGTAGCCGTCGCAACTACTGCAGAGTAGTCGAAGGAGAGAGGATGGTGTAAGAAGGCCGATTGACTGGTGGTGGACGTATTCACGCCCTTGGGGGGACAAGATCGGCCTCTTGTCGCCCGATCGGTGCGGTCCATCCTCCCGACTGACCGACCAAACAGCAGGATCGAAGGTAGAGAGTTAAATGCTCCATCGGAGGTTTTACTTCCCGACGATGGATGGTTGTGGACTCTGGTGGAAAGTGCTCTTTCGGCATTGCCCTTAATGTCGTCGAACGTTTGTACGGTGTGACCGTGTGAGTGTGGATCTTGTCTCCGAATTGCCGAAATGTGTGCCGAAAAGACACGCGGGCAACGGCTGAACATCAACCAAGTTACACCGGTGGAGATCTTGGTCAGTTAGTTCATTCTCTTTCCGCTCAAGCTCGACACACACACGTACATGTATTGCCTGTCTGTCTGTGTCTCTCACTGCCACCCTTCTCTCTCATTAGCGCCTCTCGCATCTTTCTCTGCCGCACCCACCTCGCCTCTTGCTCTTGGCCTGTCCTTCGAATCCCGCGGGGATGGGATAATGCTCCGTGTATGTCTCGGAATATATTTTGGTGCGCACGTCGGTGCGGTGTTGTTGCTGTCCAACGCTGCTGCTACGGGATCCTGTGTCCCCACTGATGTGCACGTGGATCCTTGGAGCGGGTGTGCTATATGCTGCTGCAGAATGCGGGTGGACGGAGAGTCAGTGTGTGTGGGAAGTGAGAAGGGGCAGGTCGTCGTTCGACAGTGCTATCATTGTGCGTCAATCAACCTGGTTTTGGATCTTTAAGACAGGAAGGGACGTTTTGATACTATCGTGTTTATTCGATGCATTGCGTGTGCGTACGTACACGTACATGTGTAGTCTGCCGTGGGGTATTTGGATGCTACATCTCTCCACCGCCTTGCATCTTGCTAACCATCTACAAGTAGTCCAAACTTCACGCGTTCCGAGCCATTCACCAATCCACTAGACTCTAGAGATACCTCTCGACCCGTTGCATTCAGATATGATATCCTGTTTCATTCAGATGATATCCTTTGGTATCTTGCCTGATATCCCAGTAGTCCGAGCCAGGCTGGTCGGTGGTAGATGACGGAGAATTCTACGCTTCGGTGACAAACTATTTCTCTGGTTGGTTCGAGAATGTTGTAGTATGGGAGTGCTTTGCTCTTGTCTGTTGGGATCATGATACCGTTCAGGAGATATCAAACCACGGCAGCACTCGAGGATGGATGCGGATTTCGCACCAAGCGCAGCCAGATCGTACTTATTGTTCATCATGTACGTACCTAGAAGTACATTTATTTGCAGATAGGTTACCAATGGTGTGCGCAGCGCTCCAACAAACAAACCGCTCTCAAGCCGGCATACGGTAGCCATCTGACCGAAGGTGACTTCCAAGTTGGCGGGCTTGTCCAGCGACTCATGTTGCAAGAAAAAAATAGGCAGCACCAAACCAACATTGAGTGAGTGGTTCTTGTTGTTGTCCCCTCTCTGCGCAGCGAGCGTTGATCGTTCATAACAGTAGTTCATCACACGAACCTCATCATGCGAAACACGCGCGCGCGCGCGCTGGATTACTCTTCCTACTCCTACTGCTGTTCTCTCCGCGGATAATTCTGGATTCTGGAACCAGCAATTCTGGATTCTGGAACGCGAACTCCGCATGGTCCGAGTTCCTTGGCCCCGTGGTTGGAAGTGCATGTATGTGTTTATTTTCTAAGTGAGTTGGCAGCAGTATAGTGCCTCGAGTGAGTGGGAATTGTCGCATTACCTCTCTCTGCTGCCATCAGTTGCAGGCATTATGTCATTGAACGTACAGCGGATCATGATGATGACCGATCCAAGGAAACAAAGGCGGTGATCATTAACAACGTTATGTAAGTAGTCTTGCCGTCGACGAGTCCGCTATTGGAGAAAAACGTGACGATCACACGAACAGAAGACATGCAAACCAACAAAGTATAGTAGACTATGCACCACGGGATCCAAAAGAACTCTTTTGATGTCTCCTGGCAGCTGCCTCCTGGTGTGTGGATCCTGCCGTTCTTCATTTCATCAAGATCAAACCCGCCCCTGCGGCTGTAGACATGTGTGTCAGCTATATTTTACATAATTTCCTCTCTCAGGTCAGGCCGTGCATCCCATAGGTGACATGACAAAAGATACCACACCCACCCGTGTGAGTGATTTTCAAAGCGCAATTGCTCCACGGCAGAACGAACTGTAGCGTCGATTACGGCGGCGTTGGAACCGTCTGATACCTCTCCGAAAACACATCATATTTGGTGTTACAGTACATCCTCTTCGTCGACGAGCAATCGAACTTTGAAAATCGGTCCAGGGGGTATGATATCCAATGTCACCTACAGGTTGGTATTACATTGACCTTTCATGCCGAGTGTGAATAGGACCTTGAGTCCGTAACGACGAAGAACTTTTTGCTTAGGTTCACCGGGGCGTACCGTATGTCACGGATCCTTCCGGGGCGATCTCTTGCGTGGGCCTGGGGCCTGTTACGAATCCCTTTCTTATAAGCAAGGTGAATAGTAACAACGCTCGCTTCGAGCCACTGCAAAGGTGGCGAATATTGTGGACGTTACTTGGTTAATAATGTCGACACCATCGGCCATCACTCTCTCTCTCTCTCTCTCTCTCTCTCTCTCTCTCTCTCTCTCT